GAAAGAGGAAATTGACATTGATTGCGTAGGGGTAAAGGGGTTATGGGTGTTTTTCTTCTTTTTTTTCCCCCAAGTTATCAACAATGATTTATAATCAGAAAAAAAAAAGTTATAATAAAAATAAGAAGAAAGTGAAACAGTCACGATTTTGTACGGTTTGAGCCTGGGTAATAGATACTCTGCTGTTGCCGGCACAACATGAGAACCCAAGAAATCCCACCATAAAGGGGGTCCCTCCCTCCCAGTTCCTGGAAGAACTGGGTTTCTGAGGGTGGTGTCCACAGTACCAAGTGGATAAATAAAAGGCAACTGATGTTAGTGTCATGTAGATTCCTCTGGCTTCCTTTTCCTCACTAGGAACAAGGGGGTAACACAGTTCCCTTAGAGAGTCTCAGCTGTGAAACTCCAGAATAGGGACCCCTCATCCCTCCCTCACCTCTCTCAGACCACACTGGATAGACCCTCAACACCAAGCTAAAGCAGCATCTGGGGAAGGTTGTCAAGTTTAGAATGCCCGGTTACATTTGAATTTCAGAAAAATGATGAATAATTTCTTTAGTACAAGTATACCCCCATGCAATATTTGTGACATAGTTATAAAAGAATTTGTTTTCTTTTTTTAATTTTGATTTTATATTGGAGTATAGTTGATTTACAATGTTGTGTTAGTTTCAGGTGTAAGGCAAAGTGATTCATTTATACATATATCCATTCTTTTTCGGATTCTTTTCCCATATAGGTTATTCCAGAATATTGGGTAGAGAAGAATTTGTTGTTTATGTGAAATTCAAATGTAACATGGCATTCCTTTATTTTATCTGGCAACCCTCACCTGGGAAGTGTCCTCCCCATCTGGTGGGACAGGTGTGCGCTGTATTTGCTCTGGAACTTGAGCCAAAATTAAGTCTCAGAAACAAAAAGAGATTCATAGGCCTTGGCCTCTTTCTCTTACCTGATGAAATTGTGCTTCCAGCCCAGCATTCCTCCTGCAGGGGGGGTCCAGCTGCAGCAGAGAGCGCTCCTTCTCTGTGGCCAGACCCTCAGGTGCCCCCTCTTGTGACATTCAGTCTTTCCTCAAGATAGGGCAACTTAGCCCCTTTTAGATAAAGAATCCAGGGCTTGGAGAAGGGAAGTGACTTGCTTGTGAGTGGCAGAGCCAGGATTAGAACCCTTTAGTTCAGTGGTTCTCAGCCTTGGCTGCACATTGAGGTCACCTGGGGGGCTCTGAAAACCCCACTTCCCAGGTTGCACCCAGACCAATTAGATCAGAACCTCAGGGAGGTTGGGGGGGGGGGCGTGGCTCCCAGGCATTCAGATTTCTTAAAGGCTCCTCGGGTGATCCCAGGGTGCAGCCAGGATTGTGATCACAATGATCCTCTTTGCATGGGTGCCTGTCCCTCCTCCCTGCCTGGTACCAAGCTGAGCTCTTCAGACGTCTCAGTTCAGGGCATGGTATCATCACACAAGCCCCTTCTCTTGTTTTGACTTTTCTGCTTCATCTCTAATCCCCGCTCCCATTCGCGCCTTACCCTGCCCAGATAAGCATCACTCTGATGTTTGGCAGCCCTTGGGCATGTGTATCTTTTAAAAATATGTAGAGCTGTTTTGTACGCATAGGTAGATGGTATGCTGCTAAGGATCTTATTCTATTTTTCTTTTTTCACTTGCCCCATTTTAAGATTTATCTGTATCTGTCTCTCTGCTTCCTTGTTCTCTAATGGCCTCCCGCTTTGATGGACACCTGGGTTGCCCCCATGCAAACTGCATTGCTGGACACATTCTCCCACAGGGCTGCCCTGTGGCTGCTAGTTTACTGTTCTCAGGGGCATCAACCAGGATGGGCTTACTGGGGCCTGGAGTGGTCCATCCTGAGAGACTTGATTTCTCTGGATGCTCCAAGTTACTTTCTGCTGATTTTAGCAGTTCTTGGACCCAGGAGAAGGTTCAGCCAGGTCATGCACACCTCTCCCGGCTCCTTTTTCTCCAGGGAAGCCCTTTCCCGGAGCTCTGGAATGGAGGCCCCATGCTGTCCTGAGGCAGCCCTGTCTCTCTTCCAGGCAGCTCACTAGTGGTCAGTGTCATGGCCTCATTATCCTTCCTGTGTC